AAGGGCGCGTCGCCCGCGACGGACCTCATGGAGCGCTACGGCTGCCACAAGAACTACCCGAAGGAGCTCTACGACAAGGTGATCGCGAATCCGGCCACGGGTTTCGCCAGCAACTGGTCCGGAGGCCGTCCGCCGCCGGCGACGTTCGGCGCGGACGTGTGGGACGCGGTCGACGGCGTGATCCGGGACCGCCGCGAGCTCAAGAAGCCCGCCTCGGGCTCCGTGATCACTGCCTCGCTCAAGAAGTCCAAGAAGGTCGCCAAGGTAGATCCATTGGGCTCAGTAACGCGCAGCTGCAGCAGCTTCTCTCAACAGGACCAAGCGCGGCTGCCCATGTGCGGTTCTTGATACCGCACTAGTGAATCGCGGAGCTTCTGGTGCCAGCGGAATCGCGCGCGCGTTGTATCCAGTGTCAAAACGCATGAGCAAAAACAACCGACCGCCTTGCAAAAAGTCGCCGGAGACGTCGACGATGAACTGGCGACGGGAAGGTATGGCATGCTCCTTGCTGGCTTAACTCGCGAGTTCTGCGCTGCTTAGTGGATGTCGTTGTTCCTGGTTCCGGTGTCAGGGTGGAAGGGTGGACATGCGCATAACGATGGATTCAAAGTTGGGCTCGGGAGAGCGCCCGGGTTCAATGACCCCGCCGGCCCCCCTGTTCTCTGGTACGGTAGTCATACATGGCCGGCAACTTGGGCCTAGGCTCCGACGTCCAGACGAGCCGAAATCTAGACGTACATCCACCGGCCCACCCGGGGGACCGCGCCGCGCCGAAGCATTACGACGTCCGCCGGGGCGGGAGCTCGCGGCGGCCGGCGATCGCGTCGCTCAGTCGTCGAAGATGACTAGTCGTCGTCGAGGAGCGCACCGGTTTCCACGGAGCGGACCTTGTCGTAGACGCGGAACGAGTCGACGATCTTCCGGAGCTCGGGCTCGAGCTTCTTGTAGCGCGCGGACGTGGTGACGGCGAGGAGCGCCTGGCTCTTGCCCGCGACTCCGCTGACCGCGGCGACGCCGCGGCGCTCGACCGTGAAGCCCGCGCCGGTGAGCAGCTCGTACTCGAAGTCGACGACGGCGTTCGGCGAGCCCGGGCTCACGGCCCGGACCCGGAAGTTCTGGAACTGGTTGTCGCCCTTCTGCGCGAGGCCCTTGGCGATGAGCTTCGCGTAGAAGGCCTTGTCGCCGCCCGGCGGCAGGTCGGAGACGTAGAGCGCGGCGGAGTCGCCCTTGCCGTAGTCGCCGGCGGAGACCGTCCCGGACTCGCCGTTCGTGTTGACGCTCGGCTTGACGACGAGCCACGCGTTCGGGTGGTTGAACTGGACGATGAGGCTCTGGTCCTGGTTCACGCTGCTGAGCACGGGACTGAAGCCGTCGGGGATCCCGGCCACGGGCGGCAACCCGAGCTTGTCGAGCTTGCGGTTGTACTTGGCCAGGTCGTAGGCGAGCGCCGGAGCGGGGGCCAGCGACACGAGGCCGGCGGCGACCAACGACGCGCCACCGGCCAGGGCGCCGCGCCGCGCGACGGACGGCCCGGGCGCGGGCGCTCGGCTCTGAGTGGGCGCCAGCGACGCCGCCGTCGCGCAGAGCGTGTAGAGGATCATCATCCCTGACGCCGCGCGCTTCTCGTTTCGAAGACCGCAGACCCACCCCAACAACTAGAGGCTCGCCACTGGTGTTGGCGCCGCAACTCACGACGAAAATATTGAATTCGACACTGGCTGGAGCAGCTCGATGTGCGGGATCTTCCCTTTGACTGCGCGTACGTTCCGCACGTCCGTCGCCCAGATGGCGCAGTCCTCCCAAAAGTTCCGCGGTCACGGTAGCCCCGCGTGTATCAGCGCCGGGCGCACGGCCTCGAAGAGGCGCCGATGGGCAGCCTCGATGCGCTCCGCGTGGCTATCGCATGTCCTTTGCTCGTGGTGTAGTGCGAGGCCCGCGTACGTCTCCTTGCAGAGGTTGGCCAAGAACTCCCTATAGTGCACAGGCCTAGTAAGGCCCGGCCGTTGCCGAGTCGGCTCCTGTCTGTCTCCGGCCATAGCCGTTCGTCGTCGGTCTCGTTCTACTGCTCGAGCGCGGCGAGCCTCGACCGCGGCGTCGCGGTCCTGCTGCGCGATGTCGCGCTCGTGCCCGCCGCTGCTGCTGCAGCGGCGGAGGAAGGTAATTCATACTATGACTTAAAATTTTATAGTAGGTGACTCGTGTATGCTCAAATGAGTGGTCACCGGTTTGGGGGCGACGAAGCTGATGCCGCGGCCAGCGCCAAGGTCGGCCTGCCCAACCTTGAGTAATTACCAATAAAATTCCCATCTCATGGGAATTACTGGGAGTTACTGCCCTGATC